TGATGACGAGATGACCCATTCAATTCAAAATATTCTAATAGATCGATATAACTATCCTGCAACATAAGGAACTCGTGGAGAAAGATACAGACATTCTGATCGAGGGAGATGGAATGGTCATAATAACCAAAGTTATCGAGATCTCTGCGAATATGATAATATACCTCTAGAAAGGATGAAAAGAAATAAAAATTTAAGTACCTATCAGCAAGAAGACGAGACACAGTATCGACACAATTGAGATTTACCCAAGAACATTATTAAAAAGGAGCCAAAAGAGTGTCTAGAATCTCAAGAAAGGATGAATTACACGTAAAAATGATCACATTGAAAAATTCAAAGAAAAAGAATGTGACCACAGAACAATCGTGTCATGAAAACCTTGAGAGAAATACTACACAGCCCAAGATAATACCAGTCTCTTAAAAGAAAGGTGGAACAAATAGAATTTAAAGACTCATTAAAATAATGATTCAAATTGGTCACCAAGGAGATGTCAGGGTTGTAGTGATGAAGATGCCTAAGAAGAACATCCTGAAGATTAAATATTTCACCCATGTATAATGATGGATCTCTAAAGTATTTGCATATAAAATTTTGCAGATCACTTATGTTCTTTTTTGAGGGACAAAATTCATGGCTCTTCACTTTAATAGGGACATAAGTCAGGAAATGTTATAAATCAATGATTTAGATAATAGAAAACAATTGTGGGTAGTTTTTTTATAGCTATTAATTTAAAAATTTTAATGTTTCCTAGTGAGGAACATTTGACTTATGTCCCTGCCTCCCCCTTTAGGGACCCATCTTTACCCATGTACACACTACACCAAACACAAAACATATGGTGATAATAAGGAGGAATATGGCGAAAAAAATTGTGTTCCAGAGTACGATGACTCCTATCGTAGTAGCGATGATCCCGGGACTTCAAAGAGACATTACTGTAGCGACGATTGTATAATATGATCTGATAAAATATAATAAAAAATTAGGGAAATAGTGTAGTGTAAAAGAATAATGAATCTAACAAATATTTATCAAAAACTTGTTCAGATAGTAGGTAAGGAAGGAAAGAAAAGGAAGATTTTTAGAGTTTAAATATTAATGAAAGAAGGATGTAAACAACAATTAGGTTTAGAAAACACGAACAAATCTAGAAATACATGTAAAAAATATAAATAGTTCTATACTAATTTGAGAATAAATAACATGTAAATTGAGTTGATCATAGAGACGTGTAAAAAATTGACGTGACGTAACTTTAATAACCAATTTATTGAAATAATATAAACAAATGAAACAATTACAGTGATCTACGCTGATTTATTCGATAACTAAATATTGTTCTAGAATGAGGACACTTTAAAGTGTGATAATGACTTATTAATACTACAAAATTTTTTTCTAGGGAAAGCCTGGGATTAAAATCCAAAGAATAATGAAAAAGATAACCTTGAAAATGACGGTGAAGACGTGCCGTACAGTAACAATTTGAACAGTAACGGCCTTGAAAATAATTACTGATGTGATGGAACATGTAGTCACAGTAAGAATACTCATTAATTAAATAGAAAGAAATCTGACTATAATGAC